TTTCCTTTCTTTCATTCCCTCCTCTCACTGTGTCGTTGAGGTTGACCTGGCCTCTTTTTTTCTTCCTTCCACTATTTTTCTTTCCTTCCTTCCTCTAAGTTCCTGAGTTTGGCCTTGAATCTCTTTATACTGTGTCAGCCTCCTGAGTAGCTAGCACTGTGAGTGCACACCATTGCACCCAGCCTGTGTGTACTTTTGATTGCTGCTCTAATGAATATTGCCTATAGGTACAGTGTACTAAACAAAGATAGCATTAATCAAAGAAAACTATGGATTTAGCAATAAGATATGAGTGCTATTAAAAGGTATCTAGTGTCTAAGATGGTAAAATAAATGTAAAGTAGTATGTAATGGCCATAATAAATAGAACAACTTAAGGGTATAATGACTTTCTTCCTCAATTCTGAATTAACTAGGAGAAGATAAATTTGACATTATCATTTTGGTCCTTGTATTCCTCTAAATTTTTATTTGAGTTTAAATAACCACATTTAAATTTGAAATTTGCTCTTATTTCTTTGTTTGCACTGTTGGGAATTGAACCCAAGGTCTCATGTATGTTAGGTAATCAGTCTGCCATTGAGCTATATCCTACCCGCAGTCTGGGGTGAGGCTACTGGAACTTGAATCCTCAAGACTTTACCACCAAGTTATATCCCCAGCTTTCTATTTTGAGACAGGCTCTCACTGAGTTGCCAAGGCTGGCCTCAAACTTGGCAATTCTGCCTCAGCTTTCCAAGTTGCTAAAATTATAGGCATACACCACCATGCACAGCCCCTAACCCCAATTTTAATTCTTAAGAAGGATCTTGGCTAAGAGTAAAAAAAAAAAAAAAAAAAAAAAAAAAAAAGTAGTATTTTGGAATGATTATATGGATTACAGGAAAAATGGCACTCACAGTCTCCTTAAAACATTTCAATAAAATAAATAATAGTATACATTTAACTCTTCTTGGATGTTAATTATTAAAGTTTTAGTAAAACCTGATGTTTAATCTTACCACACATTTATTATAAAATAAAGCTAAATCCTATTTGGGATTCAGATTATGCTTCTTGTTTTTCGCTTATTTGTTTTGTTTTTTTATGGGTCCTGTGGATGGAACCCAAGGTCTTAAATGCTAGGCAAGCACTCTACCACTAAGCCACATCCCTAACCCTGAGATTATGCTTTTAACAAATTGTAAATTTCTTTTTCTTGGTCTGTTAATTTAGTTATTTATTTAATATATCTTTCTCAAAGTTGTTTTTTATAGCCTCACTGGAATATGTTTGCTTTGAATTCTGAAGACAGCCAGCATGTCAAATGGCTTTTATACAGTGTACATATTTGGAATGCTATTTTGCCACAAGAGTGTGGAAACTTGGGAAGTACTTACTATCATGCTTTTAAAAGGCAAAATATGGATGTGTAACTGATGTGATTCTGCAATCTGTATATGGGGTAAAAATGGGAGCTCATAACCCACTTGAATCAAATTGTGAAATATGATATATCAAGAACTATGTAATGTTTTGAACAGCCAACAATAAAAAATTAAAAATAAATAAATAAAAAAAAATAAAATAAAAGGCAAAATATGTTAGAGTCACTGCTGTAGCAGTGGTTACAGTGTGTCACTGTTTCTTTTGTAGGAATTGGTTTAGATACAGGGACTCTTGCAGAATAGCCATATTGTTTAGATAGAGCAAATAAGTTTGAATACAACCTCTACTGTACTGAGAACCCTCAGGTCCCATGCAGTGTTAACATATATTTTGAAATACTGTTACTAAACAGGGGCCCTTTCTCCTTATAATTTTTCTCTTGCCCAAGTATTATTTATTTATTTATTTATTTTTGTGGTACTGGGGATTGAATTCAAAGGTACTTAACCAATGAGCCACATCCCCAACCCTTCTTTGTATTTTATTTAGAGACAGGGTCTCACTAAGTTGCTTAAGGCCTCATTATATTGCTGAGGCTGGCTTTGAACTTGTGATCTTCCTGTCTCAGCCTCCCAAGCCACTGGGATTACAGGCATGTGCCACTGCATCTAGCTTTACCCAAGTATTTTAATTTAGTGATGCATGGGTACTAGAAGATCAGCCTATCAAAATACTGTTGGTGTAGCACAGGGACAGAAGAATGAGGAGGAAGAGACAAATATAACATTTTATTTATAACTATTTCCTAAAGCAGTAGAACACTACCGATTAGAAATTCCAATAAGTTTATCTTAGCCAGGTACCATGATGCATTCGTATAATCCAAGTAACTCAGAAGGCTAAGACAGGAGGATCACAAGTTTGAGGCCAACATGGGCAATTTAGCAATACCCTGTCTAAAAATACAAAAAAGGGTCTGGGAGTCTAACTCAATGGTAAGAGTGCTTGCCTGGCACATGCAAGATGGTTCAATCTCCAGTACCCCCCCCCCCAAAAAAAAAAAGAAAGAAAGAAAGAAAGAGGGTGGAGAAAGTAAGTTATTGCTGGAACTTTATTTTATTTACTTATTGATTGATTGATTGATATGCGGTGCTGAGAATCGAACCAGTGCCTCACACATGTTAGCCAAGCGCTCTATCACTGAGCTACTATCCTAGCCTAGCAGTGGTATGTTTCTATAGTTCCAACTGCTCAGGGAGGCCAAGCAAGAGGATCACTTGAGCCAAGGAGTTTGAAATCAGCCTGGTTAAGACCTTCTCTTAAAATTTTTTTATCTATTGTTAATTAAGATACTCTAATGAAATGTGTAAATGTGATCAGAATAACCATAGAAGCCAAATACTGTGCAATAGGTCCCTTCTCCTCTCAGACTAGGAACAGGGATGTTGATGGAAATTTATGTACAATCTGAATTTCCCCTTTTCAGAGGGGAACTGTATGGGTCATTGGGATAGGAAATCAGAGAAGATAAATTGGGTAAGACTACTGAACCAGGTCTTGATGCACTGATAGGTGTCCTGCAAAAAAAAAAAAAAAAAGAAAGAAAGAAAGAATTACAGCATGTACATACCTTGGAGAGAATATGAAAATCAATGTTAGAGAGTAGTTTATAAAATTTCCTTTTGAGAGTTAAACTAATTATGTTATCATAAAAGAGTCAGAGGCAAAATATCTTGAAGCCCATGGAAAGGAATACCTACTTTACTGGGAATAGCCACTTCATTTACATAGTATATACTCCCTTCCCCCAACCACTACCAAGAATTTCTCAACAGAAGAAGGTGAGGTGCATTGCAAATGGTCTAATGTGCGGATCCAGCACTTTCTGGGGAAGAATGACTTGAACTTCTTGGTCAATAGAAAAGTTTCTGCTATAGGGTAAAGCACAGCTGAAGTGAAATATTCTTTCACTATTTGCTCCTTTTTATCCCTATAATATAAAGATTAAGAATGTGGCCTCAGGATAATAACTACTCCAAATTCCATTTCTAAACTTATTCTATGAATAATTTGACAAGATATAAGTCTTTTTTTTATCACTATAATGGGACTAGAATTACCTATCTTCTAGGGTAATTGTGAGAGTTAAATAAACTGTTGATCTGAATAGTTTAACTCAGGACCTGGTATATGACATTCAACAAAGCTGTAAACATGATCTGTAGTTTTTATACTCAACTTACAAATTTTAATCACTAATTCCTAAATATCTTAGTCATCTGAAACAGGATATTTAGAACAGGCATTTATACATTCCAGGAATGAAAGGAAATATCCCCATGATAAATCAATACTTTAACTTTCTCAAATTATTAAAACCTGATCATTTATTAAAAACCTGATCATTTCTGGGTTTTTGGAAAAGATATTTCTGAATCTGCAGAAGGCCAGGACCCTTTTGAGTAAACTCAGCAGTGCTTAATGCCAACATGTGAGATTTATTGGGAAGCAGTAATTTACTGAGCATTTACTGTGGATCAAGCATTCCACTAAGTGCTTTACCTATGTAAAAAATGACCTTGAGGAAGGTATTACACTTCTTCACTTCTACAAACAAGGGAATTGAGGCTTGCAGATGCCAGGTAACTTGCCTAAGCTTGTTTAAGGACAAAGTCAGAATTTGAACATAGGTCTGCCTTTGCTGTTGCCCATTATGCTGAACTGCAAAGGTTCCAACATCAGAAAGACCTGGTTTTTAGATCCATTTCCACTTCATTCCAGGAATATGGTCTTAACTCATTTTACCACTCCAAGCCTCAGATTCTTTATCTAAAATATAGTATGGCTATCTACTATATAGGCTTGTTTTGAAGACTGGAAATAAGGTATGTAAAGTGCCTGACACCGTTTCTGATGTGTGTAGGAAACTTAGGAAGAGGTGATTGTTTCTGTTTGGGGTTCCAAAAGCTGCTTTCTACTTCCATTGGCAGGCCCCCCTGGCAGGTAACCTGTGGGGTCTTTTGGAGATACAAGTAAGACCCTGTAATTTGAACTGCAAGTTCAGGTTAGAATACCTCTTGATAAATGAGACTATAATGTAAATATATACTACATGAATTTTCCCCTTTTCTATTTTTTATAATAAATACTGTATCTTTAAATGCTTACTTTTGCAAAAATTGCTACTGTTTAACCAAAGAAGGACTTATACAACTAGCCTTCACTTGTCTAGTAAGTGTCCAGGGATAACATGAGTGACTGATTTTAGCAGATGACCTATTTAGCCAGGAATTTTTTTCACTGTGTCAGCAGTCCAAACCTGGTACACATTAGGATCACTTAGACAACTTAAAAAGATATATCAGTGTGTGTGCAGTCCTTAGAGACTCTGATTTAGTGTCTGGGATAAATTTAGGTAATTGTAAGGAGCAGCCAGGGTTGAGAACCAATTGTTTTGAAGCAAGAACTAGGTGAGATTGGGATGGGCTTGCAAGTGGAGAAATGAAATGAATTGAGTAATTTTTTTCTCTTAATTCACAGTGAAATGGCTCGGGAGAAGAGGAAAATCAAAGATCATCTTGAATCACCAGAGGATAGAAAATGAAATAGTTTCTTTTTCTTTGTCTTTGTAGACATGGAAGGACTTTAATGAAACTTTAAACGGTTCAACAAAGGATGCGCTAATGGATGACAGCAATACTCCTACATATAATCTGCAGTTGGAACCACAAGATGGGTGTCATCCTGGTGACAGAGTGGAAAGCAGAGTAACATGCTTATCTTCTGTGTCTGATGAAAATGAAAATCAACTTGATGGGGATGGGCCTGAGCTTCTGACCAGCAGTGACAGTGCAATGGGAAAAACTGAAGTGTTTGAGCAGGACAGTCTCAATAATAATGAAAACTTCATGTCCAGTTGTGAGGTGCCTGCATGTGAGAACTCAGAATACACTCTGTGTGAAGGCCCCAGAGATGAACAGGGATTCTTTGAAAAGGACAAAAGAGCAGCTGGAAAAAGAAGTACAAGAACCAAAAGAGGAACTGTTAAGAAGATACCACCAGGTATTTTTTAAGTTATTATTTTTACTATTCTTTAAAGAAAATAAACCCTATCACATACCGTGTACACTGTCTTGCATATTGCTTTTCTTCTCTTAATATTTTCAGAGCTTTTTTACAACAGTATATGTTGATCCAGCTGTGTGGTATTCCGTGCATGTGATATGTCTCCACAGTGTTCCATCACTTAGGTGTGTCATAATTTATTTAACTTCTTCCTTATGGCTGTACCCAGTCTTTTACTATAGTAAGCATGCTGAAATTGATATTCTTTGTGTATGTTTTCGTACTAGCTACATTATCTATAATCTAATTCCTTTATAAATTATCCTTTTCTACCAATACAAGCCTTAATAATTTCTTTCTGCCATCACCGTGGCTTTGATCTCTCACCTGTGAATTTATATGCTCGTAAGATCTTTATAGGATCTTTTTTATCTCATTCTGTAAGTGAATAATATATAAGCTATCTGGTTCTAATTGTGTGTATATATATGTATATATATATATATTTGGTAACAAAATTAACTCAGTTTTTCTAACTTGATATATAGTTTGGCAGTTAAGGTTTAAAACTATGGATTTTTGTGTCTGAGTCACAGGGTATCCTCGGGAAAAGGCAGCCTCTGGCTATTTTGATCAGAAACATGCAGAACTGGAGAGTGCTGGTATGCCCTAGACTGGGACTCCTTACATGTTAAGTAGGCAAAAGAATTTTAAACAGTATACTACTTCTTTACCCAAGGCAAAAGTCTTTGCATAAGTTCTAGTGAACAAAGTGGAATGTCTTCTCTTTTGTTATCTTGTACCTCTTTGGCTGATTAGAGGTATTGTCATAACCTGTTTTTTTCTTTGTATGTTTTTACTTATTCAATAAGGTGATTTCATAACTTTTTAAAAAATATATATTTTTATATATATTTTTAGTTGTTGATGGACTTTTATTTTATTCACTTATTTATATGTAGTGCTGAGAATTGAACCCAGTGCCTCACATGCCAGGCAAGCACTGTACCACCGAGCCACAACCCCAGCCCTCATAACTTTTTAATGTGACTGGTAATTTGGCTGTTCACATCCATTTGTGTTCTTAGTAGACTTAAGATAATTTTTGCCAAACACAGTGGAACATACCCTGTAATCCTAGCCTCTCAGGAGGATGAGGCAAGAAGATCACAAGTTTGAAACCAATCTGAGCAATTTAGTGAGACCTGTGTCAATAAAAATTGAACTGGGTTCAATCCCCAATGTCCCCCCAAACCAAAAAAATTTTTAAAAATGATTATTTTTACAAGAGATACAAAAGCATTTTCTTAATAGACCTAAGGATTAACAGACATTGTGTACAGTGAAATATGTATATAAATGGATTTATTTTGTAACCATCATTCAAGGGCAGATTGACTGCCTCTCTAATCTGATCTTGCGATGTGTTTAAGAACTGATACCTAGTAGCATATGTATAAGGATCAGTCATAATTTCAAGATTATGAGTCCTTTTATTCCTCTCTTCAGTGGCCTTATTTGTTTCCCTTGGTGTGATTATATAATATAAAGTTAGTATTTCTTGTCTTGTGAGAAAGTATAGAATCACCATCATTTGAAATATATGTAAAATTTAGGAGTAGTTTTTGTACAATTTATTTTTTAATTATTATATATAAAATTATATATGTCATATTTATATATAAAAGGACACAAATATATAATGTGAGTTTAAGAGAATTAAGAAGCTAGGCACTTGCCTGTAATCCCAGCTACTCTGGAGGCCAAGGCAGAAGGATTACCAGATTCAAGATTAGTTTAGGCAATTTAGAAAGACCCTGTTTCAAAAAATGAAAAGGGCTGGGATGTAGCTCAATTGTAAAGTGTACCAAAGTTCAATCTGCAGTACCAAAACAAAAACAAGGAGAGAGTAAGAAAACTGAATCAGGAATTGTAAAACCTAAGTTCAAGATACACTTCTAATCCTAGGTCACTTGGTGAGACTGAGCCCTCCTGTACTTCCTTGTTCTCTTCTGTATAATGATAATGTTCATGCACACAAATCTATAAAATTCCTTTCTAAGCTGTAAATTTCTTAGATTTCTGAACAGAGAGAGTATAGTCTCTACTCCTTTAAAATTTGGTGACTCACCTTGAGTGTATCTTCTGTTGTTTTTTCTATTTAAGAGATACATTTTGAGGCTGGGGATGTGGCTCAAGCGGTAGTGCGCTCGCCTGGCATGCGTGCGGCCCAGGTTCGATCCTCAGCACCACATGCAAAGATGTTGTGTCTGTCGAAAACTAAAAAATAAATATTAAAAACTTCTCAAAAAAAAAAGAGATACATTTTGGTTTTTAAATTTTGTTATTAAATGAAAGAACATGTTAAGTAGGCAAAAGAATTTTAAACTGAAAGGAAGGATTATTTAGAGGATAGAACCATCCCTTTTTTGACTGGAAAGGACCTGGAAAGGGAACCTTTAAATTGGCCTGGGGAGCTCTCCTTAGAGTTATTTGCCAGGCCCATCCTGGAAAGATCATCTAAGCTTATCCTCTCTCAGTGTGAATCCAGTCACTAAGTCCAGGTGACTGTATTTCCCTGTGATATTCCTGGTCTCTTTCGTCCTATCTACACTGCCATAGTTCAACATTACCTTTGACTAGAGTACTACAAAAGCTCCCTAAGTGTGTTTCCCATTTTGCTTCCATTATCTATGTCCAAACTAACAATGCAGGGCTGGGAATACAGTTCAGTTGGGAGAGTGCTTGCCGTGCATGCACAAGGCCCTGGGTTCAATCCCCAACACCACAAAATAAATAAACAAACAAACAAACAAATAAACAAAAATTAAAATAAATAAAAACTAACAATGCCAGGCTGAGACTGCGGCTCAGTGGTAGAATGCTTGCCTAGCATGTATGAGGCACTGGGTTCGATTCTCAGCACCACATATAAACAAACAAATAAATAAAGTTCCATCAATAACTAGTAAAAATTTAAAAAAAATACTAACAATGCAAAGAGTTTATGTATAGAACTCTAGATATTTACTCTCTCTTACTGTCCATTTTGCTGTAAATTCTCAGATCCTAGCTAAAGTTTCAATATTTTGCAAATGAGTACTTATCTCATAATAGCTTCTCAAATGTGACATGACATGTAAGACATGATATTCAATTTTTTTAACTTTATTTAATTAATTAATTTATTTATTTATGCATGCTGCTGAGGATCGAACCCAGGGTCTCACACATGCTAGGTGAACGGTCTACCACTGAGCCACAACACCAGCCCACTCAATTTTTTTTTTTTTTTTTTTTTTGATGGTGCTGGGGATTGAACCCAGGGCCTTGTGCATACGTGGCAAGCACTCTACCAATTGAGCTAAGTCCCCAGCCCATGATATTCCATTTTAAACTAGAAAAAAAATTTTTGTATGTAGATGTTCTTATAATACTTTTATGGAAATATAAGTTAATTTACTGTTATGCTCCCTTAGTTTGATTTGTACTAATTTTGTATTCCAAGGCTAGTACTGGAAAAATATATATAGGACAAACTTCAGGTTTTCTGAGACAGTATCCATATAGGCCAGCTAAAATCTTGAACTTATCCCCAGAGAAGTCCAGTTGTCATTATACTATGGGCTTTTTTTTTTCTTTTTCTCCCCGGCCCCCTCCTTTAAGAGATGTAGTCAACTAACCAGGTATTCAAGCTGTGTTACATGCAGTTTTCACTATAGATAAAATTGGTAAAGCTTTAGGTGAGATATTATATTACAAACTAATGGAAATTAGCCTATGAATTTTTAACAGCTTTATTCAGGTATAATTCACATGCATACATTTACTCATTTAAAGTGTACATTTTTTATGATTTCTAGTATATTTACAGAGCTGTACAATTATCCACCATGGTCAACTTTAGTATTTTTCTTCACTACAATAAAGAAACCCTGTACCCATTAGCAGTTGTTTCTCATTTTCTTTGAGCCAATCCAGCCCTACAAAATTGCTAATCTACTATTTTTTATAGATTTGCCTACTCTGGAATTTTATATCAATGGAATTACATAATAGATGGTCCTTTGTGACTAGCTTCATTAAACATATGCTTTTTATGATTTACCCATGTTTCAACATGTATCGGTTCTTTTTAATGACCAAATAATGTTCCATTGCATGGATATACCATATGCATGGTGTATAAATGTATCATTTATACATTCATCAGTTGATATGGGTGTATAGTTGCTTCTGTTTTTTAACTATTATAAGCAATGCTTCTATGAATATTTGTGTACAAGTTTTTGTGTAGACAGATGTTTTCATTTTTCTTGGTTATGTATAGAATGACTAGATAATACGGTAACTTTATGTTTGACATTTGGAGGATCTTAAATTCAATATTTCTCTTCCTCTTCCCCTCCCCCCCCCCCTGTTCTGGGAATTAAACCCAGGGCCTCACACATGCTAGGCAAGTACTACATTCTCAGCCCATTCTCATTTCTCTTTTATTATTGGGGATCAAACCCAGGGGTGCTTTTCTACTGAGTTAATCTTCATCCCTTTTTATTTTTTTTTATTTTAAACATTCTCACTAAGTTGCTGAAGCTGGCTGAGCTCCTGAGTCAGTAGGATTACAGATGTGTACTGCTTCACCTGGCCCAAACTGTTTTTAAACCAGTTATACAAATTTATTTTCCTAACAGCAAGTGTATGATTTATAATTCCTTCGTATTTTTATCAACATTTGTGGATACCTGATTCTTAGATTATAGCTATAGTTCTTTTTTTTAATATTTATTTTTTAGTTGTAGTTGGACACAATGCCTTTATTTCACTTATTTATTTTTATGTGGTGCTGAGGATCAAACCCAGGGCCTCGCATGTGCAAGGCGAGCGCTCTACTGCTGAGCTACAACCCCAGCTCTATAGTTCTTTTTTACTGAGATGTAATCTACATACCATAAAATTGAATCCAGGAATACTTTAATCCCCATCCCTTTTTATATTTT